CCACCGGAGTGAGAGGAGGTTCTGCTCGGTTGGAGTCATGGAGACACTTTTGGACCGAGGCTGAACCGAGCCACGGTCCTGTGCTCCCACGGAAAACTTGTGCACAACTTTGCACCTAGCTGCAACTCTGTTTCTGATGAAAATAGAAAGTTCTGCCGACATTCTTGCTAACTTGTTAGCGCAGCATGTTGTTGTGATCACGTGAGCTCTGCATGCTGGATCCAAGTGCTGCTGGATAGAAACACTGGAGCGGAGGCAGTGAACTGCTGGAATGGAGTGCTAAAATCGGAGCGCTTATATTGGATATTTTTTATGCAGGTCGATAAAATCCGATACTCGTTTTTTTGCTGATATCGGACCAATATCCGATATCATTATCGGATCGGGACACCCCTACCAAACACACAACAAAATGTATTAAGCGGCTAATAAAAATAGGATTTTGCATGATATGTCCCCTTTAAGACCATGTCCTATACCATTTCCCTGGCCTCMTTTTTTATTTGATTAGTTTCTCTTAACCTACACATACATTTACCATAATCTTACTCTTTCCTTTTTCCACTTTAGTTTGACTTTTGTGTCATTCAGTCGTGTTCTTTAGTCTTTTCTTGTCATCCAGCTAGAAGTGTCATGACGGCAAATCCATGTGGACACAGAGGTGATGGCCTTTTATCTGGTGTTTCTTGCTTTGAGGTAAAGTACCAGTGAATGTAAGCTCTACGGGTGCAAAACTACACAAGTCTCGTGTCATCTGAAGCAGCCTGTTCAGACTACATCATTAATGTCCTCGGTCTCTCAGGTCAGTCAATGGCTGTTCCTGTCAGCTCTGAATCCTGCACCATAAGCAATGTTCTCGGTGAGACAACTGCARCAAATGTCTGAAAAAAAGGACACCTCTCCTCTCACTCTACAAATTAAAACTTTCTTTTGTTTGTTTGCCTTTCCTTTCTGCCTTTGAGACAGTTAATGCCTGAGCTCGTTTGAATGACTTTKCATGCTGCTGCTTTATGAGATTTAACTTGATGCCACCTAAACTCTGCAAAAAGAACAGGAGTTGTGTGGATGTGGTGGGACGTCGGGGAGGGGGTGTTAAAAACAAGGGTAAACAGAGGTAAAGAGAGATGAAGAAGATGAACGCTGCAGCCACACATGGAAAAGACTTCATCACCTGGAAAGCGTCTGTTTTCGAGCAGCGTGTGGCTTGCGAGCAGAGAAAATTATATTTTTGCTTGTTAGTGGCACACAGAAACAGTTGTTTACCAAACACTTTAAATTCACACTGGGCTCGTCTCAATTTATGCAATGAGCCATAACACTAGCCAGCGCAAATTCACAGTAAACAGCAGACAGTCACTGTTTCAATGCAGCAAAGGAAATAAAAAGAACCAGACGGTCTCCACAGACATTAATTTTACAGAACAGCATTGCTGGACTCAGGGTGCCTTGAAATGAGGTCAGACATAGGGGAAAGGGGAAAAAAGAAAAGCAAGAAAAATAGTAAAGAGCTTTCTTTTTGCTCACCGTTTTCACTTTCACTCCTTCTTTAGGTGTCTGCTTAGTAATCAGGTTGAAACCAAGCATCTTGTTAGCCAGCTCACCAACCACCGCAGGACTGAAAGAGAGGTTAAATGTCAAACTGGGATTTTACTTTATCAGTGATATGTACAACCACATTTCCAAGGAAGTTGGGAAGTTGTGAAAAACATAAATTAAAACAGAATATGACGATTTGCAAATTCTTTAGTTCAAAAGCCAGCCTCTCTGATGGTATGTAGTGTTAGTGCCCATGGCATGGGTAACTTGTGAAGGCATCAATAATGCTGAAAGGTACATACAAGTTTTGGAGCACCATGTGCAGCCATCAATGCCACGTCTTTTTCAGGGGCGTCCCTGCTTATTTCAGCAAGACAATGCCAAGACACATTCTGTACGTGCTACAACAACGTGGCTCCGTAGTAAAAGAGTGAAGGTACTAGACTGCAGTCAAAACCTGTCTCCCATTGAAAATGTGTGGGGCATTATGAAGCACAAAATATGACMATGGAGACTCCGGACTGTTGAACAACTGAAGTTGTTCAAGCAAGAATGGGAAATAATTCCACCTACAAAGCTTCAACAATCATTGCCCTCAGTTCTCTAACACTTATTGAGTGTTGTTAAAAGGAAAGGTGATGTAACACAGTGGTAAACATTCCCGTCTCAGCTTTTTTGAAGTGTTGCAGGCAACAAATTCAAAATGAGTGGATGTCCTGATGCATCTCAGTAATCCAGGTAAAAAATCAAAAAGAAAAAAATTGTATAGGTCT